GAAGCATTTGTGTTAATTTATTTCTATAAGCCTTAATGTTCAGCTTAAAGTAACTCTGATTGAAGAAGTCAGTCAGCCAGCCAGAGGCATTCAGCAAATTAAATAGTGTAATTGACTTTTTGATTACGAGTAAGTTATATGTATTAATTTATTATTGATTAAGTCGCAAATAGAAAATCATTCATATTCTCCTTGTAAGCCTTAATATGTATGCATTGGACAAACCAGGCCATTACATTAGATTTGACAAACCACATATCCTCGTTAGCGAAAACATATATATACCAAGGTTAATCCGCGAGGCTATTGAAATTAAAAAACACCCCAATTTCAATAGAGAAGATGGCTGGAACCTATCTAATACCTGGGATCCTCTTATTAAAATTATAAAATCCCATGTCCGTGACCACGCCGCAGGACCTCGGGACACCGTGAGCGCATTCTGCCGGCATCCAGAGCGGTACGCAAGAAAATTAAGAAATCGATGGCGGTAGGAGATAAAATAACAAGACGAACTGACAGACACTCACATCTCATCTGCCCGTGATCCGGTTGCTTTAAAGTAACTAAAACGTTGGGAGTATATAGTTTCTAATCAAAAATAAAACGCGAAGTAAAATCCGAAAATATTAGTTTCATTTTAATGAGTACTCGCGAAAATTTTAGATCTCATTATATATTACATACTTTATAAGTATATACAGAAACATCTCATTGTCTTGAGCTCGAGGATTTTACAATTATTTCGAGATTTAAAGCATTTTCTTCATATATAAATGTTGTTTGTTGATCACCACACAACTCCGTCAGTCGATCGTCAGCTGTTCCAGGACTAAGTACTGTTCCAGTTAAAGCCTTTGTCACAGTGAGTAAGTATATTATGTACGATCTATTATGATTCAATATCACGTCTAAATTACGTTTTATACAAATAAATAATACATGTAATGTATGTATAAAGAATTAATTGCTAATTATATTATTTCTATTTACTGTTGTTTATCTAAGCGCACGGTAGTGCGCCGGCCAAGTTCCACAGGCCGGCGCATGCCGTGCACTATATTTACACGAACCGTTTCGACCCACTTTTGACCCCCCTGTAGCTCAGTGCCTATTGCAAGTACAGAGATAAAATTTTACCTACGTAATCATATACTAGAACTAAAGCAGTATGCTAAATTTCATAGATAAAGCTTCAGTAGATCCTGAAATATGACCCTGTGAAAATAGCTAATTTTGGCACTGACTCACTGACAGGTAATCAAAACCTTTAGGCCACTTCCCATTGTTTTAGCATTATGAAATTAGGTACACAGGTTGTGTGTTATATGTAGATTAACAAAAAATTAAGAAATTTAAGAAATCGGTCAAGCGTGAGTTGCCTCAATTCTAAATATCGAATTTTTAATAAATTCGACCCACTTTTGACCCCCTGTAGCTCAGTGTCTATTGCAAGTACAGAGATAAAATTGTACCTACGTAATCATATACTAGTCCTAAAGCAGTATACCAAATTTCATAGATAAAGCTTCAGTAGATCCTGAAATATGACCCTGTGAAAATAGCTAATTTTGGCACTGACTCACTGACAGGTAATCAAAACCTTTATATAGGCGCTCAGCTCAGCACAATAAAATACATAATAATGAAATATTAATAATTAATAATATGAGTACATCTATCAATCGGTGATAAATGGAACTAAAAAATAAAAAATAAATATAGTTTAAAAAAACTAAAAAACACGCTCCAATGATGAAAGAAACCGCGTGGAAACTAATTTAACCTTTACAACCTTGGAAATCAATTTAATTTAAATTGTTTAAAATAAACAATAAATGGTATTATTGAAAAAAAAGCGTGGGGCGCTTCTCAAGAAGTGATATATGAAGCTCATCACGCTTTTTTTCACAAAAATACCATTTATTGTTTGTTAATTTATTTTTAAATTAATATTATTGTGAAAAAAGTGTGGGGCGCTTCTTAAGAACTGATATATATAAGGGATATAAAATATTGTCATGTATACATAATGCACACTGTATAACTTAATTAAATATTGCTTACCTAAAAAATCAGGTTTCTATTGTTATAAATTACTTTCGATAGATGGCGCTAGCGGTATAATTGAATCGCGATATTGTTTAGTCTGCAGTATATATGAATGAAAGTCGATAAGGAATCGATGGTCATTTCTTTCTATTTCTTTCTACACTTATGTCTTGATATCTTATATATGGTTACGATTACGATTAAATGGATCACTGATTTGACTTGCTAAAGGATTAATTTTGATATTGCTTATTGATTGATTACTTGTGTGTGTTAAAAGCACAAATTCACTCTATTTCTTTTCTATTATTCATTTACCAACGATGGAAATTGTACATCTTTCGGTGGTTGGCTGAGATATACCACATAGGGTAATTCCTATGCCATCAGATGGTAGCTGTATGTTTCATGCTGTAAGTTATGCATTGTACGGCTGTATAGTACGATTGTATGTACGATTTCTTGAAAAAAGTATTGAAATCTCACCAAAAACATGCCTGTTAAAAGGGGGGCCAAGTTCCAATCGGCTAATTGTTTGCCTAAAAAAGGGGTGAAATCCAATCTAATGCCAAGTTTAGACGCACTTTGAAATCGATCATAATCATCTTCATCAACAGCATGATCCACTGGTAAACATTTGCCATTCCCAAGACTCGCCACCACACCCAGTCCTCTGCCTTCCACATCCAGCCACTACCCGCCACCTTATTCACGTCAACGGTCCATCTGACCGAAATTCACTTTACCATACACCCAACTTAAAATATGGTATAGTTGTGAAAATACGTAGGTGCTTGGTTAAAAATATCTAAAATTATAATACTTCTAAATTTGAACTTGGCAGGTTAATTTAATTATTTGAATTATATAATATTTAAATTATATAAATATAAATAATTATATAACTAAATAATAAATTAATGATACAATTAATTAAGTGTTACGTACAGCACAAAAACCTGCCAAGTTCAAATTGAGAAGTATTATAATTTTAGATATTTTTAACCAAGCACCTACGTATTTTCACAACTATACCATATTTTAAGTTGGGTGTATGGTAAAGTGAATTTCGGTCAGATGGACCGTTGACGTGAATAAGGTGGCGGGTAGTGGCTGGATGTGGAAGGCAGAGGACTGGGTGTGGTGGCGAGTCTTGGGAATGGCAAATGTTTACCAGTGGATCATGCTGTTGATGAAGATGATTATGATCGATTTCAAAGTGCATCTAAACTTGGCATTAGATTGGATTTCACCCCTTTTTTAGGCAAACAATTAGCCGATTGGAACTTGGCCCCCTTTTTAACAGGCATGTTTTTGGTGAGATTTTTATTAAGAGCTATCTTTTGTGCTCAGCTTCGTTAGTGTAAACGTGACCTTATTTCAGATAGTTTGAATTAACTAAAATAGTTATTACTTAAATGAGAGTATTGAACTAAAATTATATATATTATTATTAAGCACATGTTTAAGAGTGCAAAAAGCATCTTCTCTTTCTTGTATTTTTTTTTAATTTTAAGATAAGATTTGCTCTGTTATTTAAAATTTAAATTTAAATATATGTATGTATAAGAAAACTATTGATTTATATATTAATTTTTAAAAACACTTTACAGTAAACATCGATTCATTTCTAGCAAACACGATTCAGTAAATTATTAGTAGGTACTCTTATAAAAAGTAGTAAATTTCAATCACACAGAAAGTGGTGTATCCAGAAAAAATAAGTGATATGGTACTGTACTTAAAGTTGTTGGCAATTTTAAAGAAGCTTTATGAAACTAATATTTTTGAAATTACCCCGCGATTTTTATTTTTTGATTATAAACTACATACTCCTGACGTTTCGGTTATTATGATATCACAACAGTTAAAAAAATATATTATAAAAGAAAAAATATACTAATCAATCGTTCGAAAGTGTGATTTGTAAGTGAAGTGTGTATAAATATATGTATTTGTTATACCATAATAAATTGATCTGTTAAAAAAACAACTACACGTATGTGATTAAACTTTTAAAATTTTATTTAGGTATTTCATGTATATAGATTATAGAAGTAGTGAATAAATTTTTATAGCATTTATCAGACAAACCGTGAAGGAAAACATCGTGAGGAAACCTGGAGTTACAATTTCACAATTATAAGTTTGAAACTACCAACCCATCTTAGCAAGCGTGATGAATGCTCAAACCTTCTCCATGGGAGAAGAGGACTTGGCTCAGCAGTGGGCTCTGATAGGCTGATGATGAATATAATTTACATTGGAATGAAAAATTTAATATAATTTAGTTAATTTTGACTACAAACTATTTAAGTACCTGTTATTATAATTCAATTATAATATTGGGCCATATTTTCTTGAAACCTAGCTTTTTATTTGTGAGGAGACTTTTTAATATTATCTTTACTTCATTTTATTCTGGCAATAGTTTTTACAATGCAACCAATGAAGATTTTAGTTTTTATATATAATATATTATACAGTAATATATTTAAGTTTTATAGTTGATAAGCTGCTTTTTATGGAATTATTATTCCAAGGCCGAATTTAAAAACTATCTTAATGAATATAACTGCAGTAGTTTCAGAAATAATGCGGAGGTTTTTTATCATCATGCATAAAGTTTTTACAATAACTTTGTTATAGAAACTATGTATACATTATGAGTTTTTTTCACTGTATTCTGTTTGATGAAAACTATTTTAAACATACAATCTCCATTAACATAAATGCAATTATTGCAACCTGGAAGATAAATATAAAAAATATATATATGACTATTTTATTAAAGGCTAGTTCCCCACTGACTAATGTGGCACTTCCCCGGTTGAGGCAGCCAAAGTTCGAGATGTAGCTACTTGGGAACAGCTAGGATCTACCACCTGTGAAAGAAGATTATATTTTTATACCATATTCAGCTAATGACTCAAAATTTCAGAGTAACAATGTCGGGAGTGATCCAGCAGTTCCCGGTGGAGAGAGAGTACCAGAAGAATCCCAGCATCAGCTCCGAGGACATAAAGAAGTTGAGGGACTGGATGAAGACTCAGACACATCTACCTGAACAATACTGGACAGGTTGTATAAAGGTTTAATTATGTAACTACATCTCATACTTACTTCTTCTTTTAAAGAAAAAACCTATCAGCAAATTGATGTAAGCCGATGATGTATTCTTAACTTGCTTCGTCTCTTTCAGATTTGGATCTCATAATCGCCTACCACTGTTGTGAATGTAGTACAGAGGTCACCAAACAGGTCATTGACCTACACATCTCCACAAGAACCTTGTTCAAAGAAATTTTCCAGAATCGAGTTATTGATAAAAGAATTATAGACACGCTCCAAATTGGGTGAGTCAGATATCTTAAAGGTGAAGAAATACTCCTAAGTCTGACCAAATATTACACCTAAATTGTACTTTGTACATTAAAAAAAATGGTCAGTAGTTTTGACTGAAAACTCATGAAATACTATATAATTTATCTTCATCAATCATTCTTCTAGACTTTTTACTGCACTACCAACGCCGACTGTTCACGGCTACCGAGCGATGTACTGCCGTCTTCTTGATGGAGATTACAGAAAGTACAACCTATCTGATATGCTCAGGACCTTCATGGCTGTCTTTGACCTGTGGCAGTATGAAGAAGGAACCTGGCCAGGGTGAGAGACATACAATTTATCACATGAATTCCATGAAATTTGTAAAGGAATTAGGGTGGTTTTTTATATGATAAGTTAGTATATGTATTTGTGAGAGCTATTGAATTTCGTAAAACCAAGGCCTAGTTCCTTAGAAGCCTTCCAGTCTTGGCATATAGAACTCGTGACGATGGGGGGTTTTAGATTTTAAGAAAATGTAGTCTTAACGCAAAATGATCCTTGTTTATTGCAAACAAATTCTAACAGCGACTGTCGAGAAAAAAAGATAATTATTTCTTATGACAGTTATAACTACTTATAAAGGAATACACGAGAAAGTTACATCCTTATCAATTATAAACATAAATACATATATAATGCTTTATATTTTCATATGATGCAGATATTTTAATAGTCATTAAGTAGGAATAAGTAATGTATTGAAGTATTGACTTGACTGTATTTATTAAATTAATTAATTAAATATAATATGTTATTCTTCTTCCAGGTTTGTCCTGATACTGGACATGAAGCTGACCACATTAAATCATCTCTCAAGGCTCGATATCATGGCGGTAAAACAGACGCTCTACTTCCTACAGGTGAAAGAAATTTATATCTACATACAAATATTACAATTAAGTTTTCACAATTTTAACTATACTTATAAAAAATAGCAATTAAAAAATATTATATTCTAATTAAACACATCATAAATTTTCATGTATGTTAATATTGTTTGCATGCATTTATAATTGTGTTAATTAATTACTCTGAATAATGATTATACTCACACTCGTGTTAGTTTAACATGAATCAATTTATTTTCAAACCTCTAGTAAATGGAGTTATAATTTTTAATATACGTGTAATTCCAGGAATGCATGCTGGTTAAGCTTAAAGAAGTACATTTTACGAACGCTCCCTATTTTATGGACAAAGTAATGAATATACTAAAACCTTTTATGAAGAATGATTTGATACAAAACATTCAAATACACAAGAGGGATTCCGAGGATTTGTACAAGTTTGTTCATAAAGAATCATTGCCAAGGGAATGCGGTGGGAATTACAAGGATTTGAACACTTTAAAAGGTACACTTCTTAATATATTTTAGTATTAACATAGGTTATTGAGAAACGGAAAAAGCTGAGTATGTAGTAACGAAACAAACATGGATTAAGCAAGATATTGGTATGCAACTTAATATAGATTTAGAGACATCGTGACGTAAGTGTAAATATATATATATACCAACAAAAAATACACAAATTTTTTATTTCTAATAAGTTTTTACTGTATAACAATTCATTTTGAAACGTCTAGAACGGGTGACACTTAGTTAAACCACCGTTAAACCAGAATTAAGACTACTTCTTCATTCATTTTCATATGTCATTTATGTCCTTGGCCGTATAATAATTTCTTTTCTTATCGTGAAAACGGTTAAAAAATGCTACACTTTTTGATGCATGCGTCATTGCTCACAAAGAGAACATATATCATATAGTAATTTGTCTCAACTAACTAGAATCATGTGATTTGAATACTAGAAGTAATTTTAAACAGATAATTTATAGTTATTTTGTCAACGTAATCGGCAAATCTGCATAAATACTATTTGTTGTGTATCTGGACTTTGCTTCGTTCAGTTCTATTTTGACAATTATTTAATAGTAAAAGAGCTTTTGAGTAGGAAACACATGAAATTAATCAAAATTAATTGCGATAAGTTACTTTATAAAAGAAAAAATTGAATATCATAGAACACTTATTTCAACTGGATGGACATATGTATCTTTCAAATAATATGTTTAATGGAAAAGTATATTATTATACTTGTAATATTTACTTTATTAATTTAATTCATATAATGTATTTCTTTTCAGACTATGAAATCCGTCGTCTACAAGACAACAAAGAATTCTTCGTGAGAGAGAATCTCCGTCGAGTGAACGAGTCTCTCCGACAGAACGGAAAGACCAAGACTGTTGAAGACGTGTTCGGCATTCAAGGAAACTTCAAGAAGTTAGATATAGATTAGAAGTATGAGACAAAATTAGTTTTAAAATAAATGTTATTATTTAGACATCACAAATATTTGTATTTTTTTTATATAATGTCCAAATAGTTAGGCAGTAAGTAAGTTCAAGAAAATTATTTGAAGAATAATTACCATAGACTCTATGGTGTAATGTCTTATCTATGGCATTAATATTCTGACCATGATAAAGAGAATGTACCAATCGAGAAGTGAAATGGAATATTTTTGTCAATAATACTATTTTTACATTTCAAATCTTTCAAGAACCTTTTTTTGAAGTACATAAGAAACATCCTGGTGAAATAAATATAGGAAATGTTTAACTCAAAATACACAAGTCAGATGACTTGGAGAAATATAAAAATCTAAACTTTAAATGAAAACAATGTAAAATAGGCAGTTATTTTTTAAAATAATTTACATACTAAATCACAGGCAAGGGAAAAAAGCTATCAAACTATCAAATTCAACGTAAATGAGGACAGTTTTTTCTAGGAGAAGGTTTAAATTTTTCTTTTACATTTTAGTGACTTGCTTTCGTTAGTTTTACTAAAAATATATAATCATAATTATCAATTGAGGTGAGCACAGCTTTACCTGGTTTCTGATACGGAACCCTCTGTCTTCAAGTTAGAATTGTTTTTGTCACCATCCTTCATCCTCGCTAAATTTAGCGTGAACAAAAAATAAAGGCTCATTAAAATGAATACACTCAAAAGGATATTCCTAATTTGACAGTAATATGAACAAAATCACGATCTATTAAAATCAGCTTAAGATTATTATATGAATTTTGATGATGTTTGTTTTGTTTTGATGTGAAATTAAATGATTTGTGATATATTGTGTAATAAATTGACTACTTTCTTGCAATGTTAGCGAAAAATTAAAATAAAATATATATTGAAGAAAAAATTCAATCATTTTATTAAAAGAAAAGCATAATTATTTACTTTAAGTTCTCAATCAATTTAATCGCTGCTAACGTCTTCTGTCTTTATATGTACTTCTATATTTAGATATTTCAAATGAAATATTGTTTTCGTTCGATGAAAATACATACTCGTAAATAATAAAGTTGGTCTGTATCACTTCAAATATGATAAAGAATTTTAACATTATTTATAATTAAATCGATAATTGATAAAAATATATATGTATATATGAAAATGAAAATATTCTTTTTTAATTTCGATCTCCATGTACATATTATATGTATATATAAAGTTCTCGGGTCGCGGTGTTAGATAGAGAACTCCTCCGAAAACGCTGGACCAATTTTGATAAAATTTTGTGAGCATATACAGTAGGTCTGAGAATCAGCCAACATCTATTTTTCATACCCCTAAGTCATAAGAGTTGTTCACCCTTAATTATTTTTTATTTTCAGACGAAATTATGTTTTTATTTTTTTATAATGTAGCATTAAATTACATACAACCCAAAATTTTTACTTTTTTATCACCGACTCCTATTTCTTATATTATTTGCCGGGTCAGCTAGTATTCTATAAGATTATTATACTAATGATTTGTGAAATTAGACGCGTTTAAAATGTCTGACATATAAGTATCGGTTATATTAAATTGCCACCTATGCTATAAATAGTATAATTCTCATTTATAAGCTGATTTCCTCGGAACTGCAACTGTTTTTTCTCCATCCAAACCCTTAATGAGAGACGGATCTCGAATGTTTTGTGTAAACAAAAAAAAAACAATTACTCATATAAATATTAAAATGACAAGTAATTTAACGTCTGAGTGCAATCAGTATTATACATACGCGAGTGTCTACGTGTGTTATATTCTTCATAGTTTTGTATTATTTAGACACGTTTTCTGTGACCCTAGACCGAGTTTCCATCGTCATAGTAAATAGTAAGCGTCGTCTTTTCTCATCGTATTACTTACGTTTAAACTGTTATGAGGTATGATTTATGAATGAAGGAAACTTAACGTTGAGTATGTCCGTAAGGATGTGGACTTGTACTAAGCGTACGACAGTAATGAAGTATTTTTAAAAGGTTGTTAAGAGAAACCTTCTACATATAAATGTTGTTTGTTGATCACCACACTACTTCGTCAGTCGATCGTCAGCTGTTCCAGGACTAAGTACTGTTCCAGTTAAAGCCTTTGTCACAGTAAGTAAGTATATTATGTACGATCTATTATGGTTGAAACTCACGTCTATATCACGTTTTTATACAAATAAATAATACATGTAATGTATAAAGAATTAATTGCTAATTCTATTATTTTTATTTATTGTTGTTTATTTTTATTAAGAGCTAGCTTTTGCGCTCAGCTTCGTTCGTTTAAACGTGACCTTATTTCAGATAGTGTCATTTAATTATAATAGTTATAGGTCTACAAACGGTTATTATTTAAATGAGAGTATTGAATAATAATTATATAAATATATAAATCTTTATATATATAATTCTTCTGTGAGTCTGTATGTCACTGAACTTCTCTCAAGCGACTGGACCGATTTTGATGAAATTTTTTTGTGTGTGTTCGAGGGGATCTGGGAATGGTGTAAATACACAATTTTCTCCGCTGGACAATGTTTCTTTAATTATTTTTTTATTTATTAGTAGTTCTTGATATAAATGGTTTTTTTGACATTAGATTTGACAACTAACTAATATATCAATCATTCTGTCGCACTTCAAAACACGGAGATTTGTGGCTTTAATAGGTAAACTCCAAAAATATAAATAAAAAAACGTAACAGATATTTCTTGATTATAGGGCGATACGAAATTCGCCGGGTCTTCTAGTCTAATATATAATATTTCCATGTCACAATGTTAGTTACCGTACTCCTCCGAAACGGCTTTACCGATTTTTACCCAAAATTTATACGCGTATTCAGTAGGTCTGAGAATCGGCTAATATCTATTTTTCATAGCCTTAAATTATGAGGATTGTTCACCCTAAAAAAATATTTTAATTTTTGAAAGATTTTTTTTAGTTTTTTATATAGTGGCATTGAAAAATACCTACAATTCTAAATTTTTACTCTTCTGTCACCAAGCCCTATATTTGATATGGCAAAAAAACGGCCGCGGGTTGGCTAGCATATACATATATATCATTATATTGTTTTAGTTTCACGTCTTTTAAATGCGTAATTAAAATCGCAAATATTTATATCTGTGCAAGTTTCTTAAAAAATTTACCCAATCGGACATTACCCTTGAGAGATTTTGCGACAAAAAAAATTACAGATTTGTATGAAGGATTTTTAGTTTACATTCTCACGAGAATTGCGGAACTTGAGATAACATTTTTATTTTAAAATCACTTATGGAAACTTTTATATATATATATATATATATATATATATATATATATATATATATATATGTTTGTATCGTTATTATTCAACAGGCTGTTTTTGATTGAGATGCGTTCAAATTGCATGTCGAAAGAGTCTTCATTTTGGTCACTCTTTATAAAAAAATATTCTAACTATTACTTACTGCATTGTTATTATGGTCGCATTTGATTATAGCCTGATACTTTAATAGTAAGATATAATTTTTATAAATAAGACGGAAAATACATATACATATATATGCATCCTACATCGTCTTGTTTCTAAGGTCAACATTGTTGAATAGATATCACCATGTTAATCAGATAATTGAGAAGGTTGTCATTTGCGAAACAATTATGTTTTTAAACTTAGTTGACTTCAGTCGTGATGCCAGGGTTATACCAATTAATGTGTCTTTTTTACGCAGACGAAGTCGCGGGTAGATTTACAAAAATAACCAAAGCATTTATAACCATTTTTACTAACAGTATAAGAAGTTTGAGTTGTTATTTTAAGTAGTGTAGTGACAATCCATGTGACTTGTGACTCATAATTTCAGAGTAACAATGTCGGGAGTGATCCAACAGTTCCCGGTGGAGAGAGAGTACCAGAAGAATCCCAGCATCAGCTCCGAGGACATAAAGAAGTTGAGGGACTGGATGAAGACTCAGACACATCTACCTGAACAATACTGGACAGGTATAAAGAGACGAACAAAAGTTATGAAGAGTTTATTATAATAAATGGGTATTATATCAAAGTCTTGTGAAATATTGCTTATGTTTTTTTACGTCGATCTCAATACTGATACCATTTATTTATATAAAAAGGGTTTGAAGATATTTTTAGCATACCGCACTTTTCATTTAACTTTGTATTATAAATAAGTGATATGGGAAGTTAACAACCTTTGGGTTATTTGAAGGTTGGCGATCTCGTGTCTTTTTACTGTTAGGACCGTTTTTTTCTTCAGTTCATTGTATTGCATACGATTGCGTGTGGAGTGTTTATGAACTTAGTTTATTTTTAGATTATTTGTGCCTTTATTTAGGATTCCAAATTTAGATTATCAATACTTACGTCACTTGGAGCAGTACATATAACTATATAAGACAATTGTAAAGCTTATTATTGGCTCTTAACATGCTTCGTCTCTTCCAGATTTGGATCTCATAATCGCCTACCACTGTTGTGAATGTAGTACAGAGGTCACCAAACAGGTAATTGACCTACACATCACCTCAAGGACCTTGTTCAAAGAAATCTTCCAGGATCGAGTTATTGATAAGAGAATTATCGACACGCTTCATGTTGCGTGAGTGAAGTATCACATACTTTGGACTCTGAAATGACTTACATTTCCCATCCTGGCCCTTCCCTTTTTCCTTCATTTCCCACTTTTTCCTCCCCATCTTTCTAATCAAGGGTGACGATGGGTGACAGTACTACCTTCATCAGGTATGCCGTCTGCTCGGTTAGTCCCTTAACCATAAAAACGTATGTATGTTCATCTCAAAACTGAAACACGAACATGTTCATCAAACGGCTTTATCTAATTCTATAGAAGTTATATTTGGTGATTATTTTGATTTATTTTTCCAGTCTTCTTGCTCCATTGCCAACACCGACTGTAAATGGTTACCGAGCGATGTACTGCCGTCTTCTTGATGGAGATTACAGGAAGTACAACCTCACAGATATGATCAGAACCTTCATGATGATCTTTGACCTGTGGCAGTATGAAGAAGGAACCTGGCCAGGGTGAGAGATATAACAAAATGTTAGACCCAAAAAACAGGTTACTTCATATTTGAGGTGTATTCTGTTTTGCTTTTCAATTAGTTATGGTTTAAATATTACTTATTGCGTTATGTATTCCTAATATTTTGTCTATTTCATTCGTTTTGAATACATTTATTTTGCTGCTAATCAAATTATTGTACGTCAGTGAATGAAATATATTCCTTACAAATTCTGATTTAATGTCAAGTTTAAAACAAAACGCTGTATTACTTGTTATAATTTTAGTTTTAAAATATTTTATTTCTTACAGATTTGTGTTAATAATAGACATGGACTTGGTAACTCTGAATCATATCACCAAATTAGATGTAACGACAATACGAAGCACGCTTTATTTCCTACAGGCAAGACATTTTTTTTATTTATATTAATAAGTATATAAGATATTAATTTATACTTAAATTACAATACTATTATTATAAGGATCATGTATATAAATTCATAAAAATGTGTTAATTTCAGGAGTGCATGTTGGCGAAAGTAAAAGAGGTACATTTTACGAACGCTCCGGCTTTTATGGACAAAATTCTAATGCTGTTGAAGCCTTTCATAAAGAATGAACTGATCCACATTCTTCATGTTCATGAAAAGAAATCAGAGGTTTTATATGAGTATATCCCAAAGGAGGCTTTTCCTGAGGAGTGCGGAGGAAAGTACATGAAATTGGAAACATTACGAGGTACTGTAATTTACATATATACTTTTGATCCGAAAATTAGATATACTCCTGACAAAAATTTGAAGGTCACACATAAAAATATTTTAACATAATACTTAGTCCTTCAAGACGATAATTTAGATACTTTGTCACGTAAGTTATTTTTGATAGCAATATTATGAAAACAAAACATTGCACTGAATTCACTGATGGGCTCTTTGAAGAATATAATAGTGAAAAATTATAGCTTGTTAATTGATATTTCAAGCGGTCTTAAATACCATTTAGAAGTACATGTACTGTTTTATATAAATTATAAATTTTCTAAATCACTTGGGCTTTAAACTAATTCGTTTCATAAAGTGGTCTTATACATCATATAAACACAGGGACTAGGGACTGATATTTTGTGCTTATAAAATATACATATTTAATGTCGGAATGGAAATTACAGTTAAATAAAATGACGTTCTCCTAAATAACGTTTAATTTAAACAGTAACCTATTCAAAAATTAATTCCGAATAATTTTCCTCAAAATTCACAGAGATCCTCACAATAATATTCTGTATTACGATGAAGTAGAAATATTTGTCTCATACAAAACTGTTCCTTCTGAAACTCTTCAGATCATCACATCCGTCGTCTCCAAGACAACAAAGAATTCTTCGTGAGAGAGAATCTCCGTCGAGTGAACGAGTCTCTCCGACAGAACGGAAAGACCAAGACTGTTGAAGACGTGTTCGGTATTCAAGGAAACTTCAAGAAGTTAGATATAGATTAGAAATGAATGGTTATTTTGTTCGACCAGAGCTCCTTATTTTGTCCAAAAATCCAATTTCTAATGATATTGAATTTTTGTTTAAAACATCTTAAATTGAAATACCGACACATTTATGTCGTGATCCATAAATTTCAGTTAATGCCCATAATTGTCAAAGCTTACTTGGCCTACTACAATATCCCTGTTTACAATAAAAGCCTCTTTTTATAAGCTAATTTGGTGCATGGAAAAAAACGAGACTGCAAAAAATATGGCCAATTTGGTGCTCACAACAATTTAAAATTAAATTTGACATCAAATGAATGAAACAAACATTTTTGAAATAATTTGACAAATTACATGTCATAAATAATTGAGTTTTGATTTGACTAATATGAAGTAATGACGATTATAATAAATTTTGGATTTCAAATGAATATCATTGGATAGGACAAAGCCGAAAATACCGGATGTTGGATAATAGACGGATATCCGGTTCATTAAAAGTATTTATACATATATTTAAGTTTATATATAATTATGGTAATTAGAATGGGTAATTTTATCTTCAATTATAATAATTGTGATTTTTCTTAGTTTTAAGAAGTACTTATATTGTGTAACTGCTCAAATCTTAGTGAATTATGATTGATTAGAAACAAAAATATATTTTTAATTTAAAGAATAACATTACGTTTGTTTTTTAACACCATTTTTACTTAGTAAAAAGCATATGATTATTTTATATAACATGTATGTACCTATTTAGGTATATCCCCTTAAACTATATTGGGGATCCGAATGTTCTTAAGCATAAATTAATCCAATAAGTTTCACGCTGCACAAAATAAAATAGGAAGATTGCATGCCGGTATTATATTTATAAATCGTTAAAAGAAAGCAATATCGATTCAATAGAATTTATTATTAATAAAAGCTTCTAATAAACAGCATTATTTTGATTTCAACACTGTTTCTTAATCGCTAAAGTATTACCAGAATTATTCAATATAAAAATAACAAATAACTTATAATTAGTGATTGATCAACTATATAAAATTTACCAGTTAATTTATCCCCTCCCCCTTTTCACTCCCCCTTTTAATGGAATTTGTTAATACTGAGAAACATGCACGGTACATACATAATTTGATTCGTAACTTTTCATCTTTTCTTTCCTCCAGATAACCATTGTCTTTCTAACTGACCAAAGATTTATTTACCAAAGATTTATCAATATGTGGATAGCATGCACATTTACTTGTAATGACATATATAATATAATATTGACACTGTTAAGATATATATCGGATTTATTACACATTTGTTGATTTTAAAGAGAGAGACGCCAGCCTCGCTGACGTTACAAATGTCACTTCTTCTAGTACGGTCCATGATATTTTACAATGAAACTTCAATTGATCTTAATGCCCCTGTATTTCTCAAAGATTCTTCATAATAACATACTTCAATGATACACACTCACTGAACTCTGAATTATTAATTCTGGAGTCTGCCGTCGTGCGTCCAGACATCATATTTATAACAAGATTTAAACATAGTTCTATTCTCCTTTTAAGCAACCTTTGATTTCCTTTTACTTTTAACAATAATCATAAATACTAATGAGGTTTAATAAGAATTTATGACGGCCTCAAATTATTTTCAAGCCGCATCCGTTATTAAAGCTGGTAGCGCCGATATATACATATAATAATTTAAAACTTTGTGTCAAGTTGACGTGTTAGAATATTTTTTAAGCATACTTCATACTCTGACTAATTTTCTAGCTATCAAAATTATCGAATAGATGACTTAACATCGATATTGTTCAAATTCACGAATGGATCAGAATGTAAATTTCTATGTGATTTGAGACCTCTTAGCATTTAAAGTATTCACCGTGTGGATGTCGGGTCCATCGTGGAAGGGAGAGGGTTTTCCACAGTGCCTGGGACTTGCGACCCAGGTTTAGGTTTAAGGGGCCCTTATATAACGCGCGTTAATCGCTCACCTCCACTGTCCAAGCTCCTCTCTCTACCTAAACAAATTTGAAACGAACCTACTAGGGCTGGCTTCGATGTACGTTCCAAGAATGTATTAATGTTAGTTCTGGACAGGCCCAAGTCTTTTAGTAGGTTATAGAGAGATTTAGCTGTTATACCTCTAGCTCCCACTTCTACCTCGTACAAATCCACAACGAACCTATTTCTAGTAAGTTCATTAGTGAGCTCGTAATATATATTGATCTTGATGGTATGGTCTTTGAGGATATTGGTTTCCCAAGGAACCGTAAGCTCTATTATCACAACATTTAATCTGGAACGTTTTGTTGAAAACAAACTATTAATGGAATCATAGGATTTTGCTAAAGTAGTAGTAATTAAACATTTCTTCAATCTCTTCTATGTAAATGATTGAATAAGTAGGAATATTAAATGGCGATGGTAGAACAACTTCTTTGTATACTATTTCAATACAATACAACAACACTACATATTATACTACTAAGAATTTCTTTCTTCAATTTATTATACTTTTCTTAAAATGTTTTCAATTTAAACATTTTATTTCCAGATGAGAATTTACTAGTTAGTTACTAGTTAATAGTTCAAATCTTCACATATATACACATAAAAAAATCACTATGAATTATACTGTAAATAATAAAATAAATAAGAATTTCTGAAAAGGTCTTATAAATGAATTATTTCTGCGATGTTTTTAATTATATTATCTATGTTTAAAAATATATATTTTTATATTATCTGTATTTTACTATAATGTTTTAAATTATGTTTTTTTTTTAAAGAACGAATGTAATTGAGTTATATAATAGCTGTGATTGTTTTTTATAAACTGTCACAAAGTTGTGTTGGGAAATCAGTTTAGTTGACATCGACGTCTGCGTTGGATCAGTCATTGTAAGTATACTCTTGGAATTACGAGAGAATTATATGCGGGTGAGTCGTATTTTATATTAATAAAAAAATCTAATAAATAATATATATGAGCCAATTATAGTACAATTAAAATAAGTTATGTGAACCTATTTTTTTATACTGTCCGGGTAAAATAAATCTTTTCTTTACTAATGTTGAAGAAAAAACAAAAATTTTGGGTCACATATAATTGAATTATTTACAAGACAGCTAACAGCATTCTTATTATTGACTATAAATTTAATTAATGTTACATTTAAAAATATATGTTATTTTAAAATGAGATAAAAATCAATAGATAAATCCAATCGAATATTTATATACAATGTTATTAATAAATATAATAATATAAAAAACAAAAATACAAGAAAATATAATCATAAGAACATGACGAGGAAGATTTAAAATAAAAAAACATTCTAGGTAAAACCCAAGAAATATTGTCAAATTAAATAAATATGACATGAAAATTAATTTATTTCAAATGACATACATGTTATGAACTGTGACATGACATGACATCAGTACTTAATTATACAAAAATTAGGTTTAGGTTAGTGGATAAAGCAATTAAATTAATATAACAATTAACGGTGTCTCATTAATATTGAGACCTCAATATTAAATAGCACGATATACAGTCAGTGGTTAAGGCCCGCCTCTCATGCATAAGGCCGCGGGTTCGATCCTGGCAAGTACCAATGTGATTTTTCCGAGAGATATGTACTTTCTAAGAGTATTTAGACATCATTGATTAGTGCATTCCCAAAGAGGGTTGACGTCAGACAGCCGGCCATAAAAACAATTAACCAAAACTATTCAGGACCTAATGGTCTGCCTTAATAAGGCAGCCCTGGCTAAAGCTGGGAAATTGCCAGGTAGAAGAAAATTAAATAAAATGGACCTTCAATATCGTTCCTAACAGCCACATAATCATTATCATTACTTATAAATAACCGGTAAATAAAAGATAATTGTTGCAACAAAATAGCTTGTAATAAAATATAATATGTATGAAATTTTAACATTTATATTTATGATCTAAGCTAACTACAGCGTGTAGACATCGTAAGTGTCTCTCAAGCTGCGAGTAGGTGACATAAAAACGAATGTTTAATAATATTTATTATCTACTATTATTTAAAAATATATTGGCCTTCGCTGTTAAATGTTGTGAATATTTTTTTTTATATGGGATGCTTATTTATCTAATATATAATGTAAGGTACATGATCCTTTTTTTATATATTCCTTCTTCTTCTTCTACCTGGCAATTTCCCCAGCTTTAGCCAGCTGCCTTACATGTCGTGAATAGTTTTGGCTGATTGTTTTTACGACCGGCCGCCTGCCTGACATCAACCCTCTTTGGGAATGCATTAATCAGTGATGTCTAAATACTCCTAGATAGTACGTATGACTCGAAAAAATCACATTGGTACTTGCCAGGATCGAACCCACGCACTCATGCATGAGAGGCGGGCTTTTTAACCACTAGGCCACCACTGATTTAATTTTTAAATATCTAGAAGTGTAAGAACAAAAAATGTGATAAAATTATACGACAATTATCTTTGAATGCCCATTGTTCTAATTTAATTAGTGACTAACTTTCATCATCTGGTTTTACTTTGGATTCTAATATAACTGTTTGAAATTATTTACAACGTAATTGCTTTTAATAACCTGTTAATGTTTTCAATTATATATTTTTATAGATTCGTATGAAAAATAACAGTTTAGTCTTCATTATGGTAATAACAGTTTTACCTGTAGTAATTATTTTCAATCCCTTATTATTTCTAATAGTAGAGTAAGTGTTACAAGCTAGATACATTTAATGAACTATTTGTGGTTTAATTTGCCTCGTATAGTCATTTTTAGATAAGTATTAAAAATGTTATGGTTTTACCTCGAACTGATTGCAATCGATTTAAAAACATCATAGGTAGAGATCTTAATATTATTTTAATAACCAATACATATACATGAAACTAACAAGACTATTAATAAATTAATGAATATATAGAACCAGATCAACTTTACGTTTCTAGATAAGAGTAAACTTTATTTCCTTGGTTGCTATACTAGCTTTCACTCGCGTCTTCACACGCATGGAATGTTCGTAAAAACTAGTGTTCCGACCCTTCATACATCCGCAGTACGTAACATTCAAGTCTAATATATACATATATACAAATAAATATTATTGGACTGTCTGTTTGTTACATTGAAATAACCGTGTTTTACATGCATATAAATATCTATACGGTATATACACCAAAATATTTTTTTTTTAAATTTTTGTCTGTCTGTTTGTTTGCTCGGGCTAATCTCTGAAATGGCTGGACCAGTCGTGACGTAACTTTTAATGGTAGGTAGCTGATGTAATAAGGAGTAACTTAGGCTACTTTTTATCCCGAACCCGAAATTAAATGTTATCAAGCGCTAGTGGGATTCATGACGCACGCGGCGTTTTTAAAAGGTTTTTCATGGTTTTTTCATTGTTTTTCATTTTTACTTTTTTTACGCGGACGAAATCGCGGGTAATAGCTACTAGATATATCAAAATAACCAAAGCATTTATAACTATATTTACTACCCAGAAGAAGTCGCAGGTTTTTGATTGTAGATATATAAAAATAACCAAAGAACTTATAACCATTTTTACCTATATAGTATAAGAAGTTTGAGTTGTTAGTTTTAAGTAGTACATCACTATTCAACTTGACTCGTGACTCATAATTTCAGAGTAACAATGTCGGGAGTGATCCAACAGTTCCCGGTGGAGAGAGAGTATCAGAAGAATCCCAGCATCAGCTCCGAGGACATAAAGAAGTTGAGGGACTGGATGAAGACTCAGACACATCTACCTGAACAATACTGGACAGGTTGTAGATATTATAATATTAGTTTAAAATGACCTACTACGAGTTTTCTCCTTTAAATATTATTTGAAAGTATTATATATTATGTACGAGTAGATATTTAAAAGTTATTAATCGATTTAATAGCAATTCAGGAACAGTTTTATTTATAGTAGAATAAGGTATTACTTGTAGTGGTTTAGCTTTTGCTTCTAAGTCCCTTATACATTAACATTTTTTATTTCTAAATGTAATTTACAAATATTACGGGTGTAAAATTTTGATATATTTATATACTGATATTTGTTGTAATATTTGTATAAAACACAACAAAATTGATAGTGGTCCGTTCTTATTTTCTTTTGCTCTATAGAATATAGGGAATATATTCGTTAATATAAGTACAACTAAGGTATATAATGCTATGGACCAATTTTTTTTAACTTCAACTCACCATGAACCAATACATATCAGTTATTTAGCATTTATTTTAAAATTTCATATATTTGATTAGCAGTTCAACCTCGTTCTCGCAATTTATTTTTCATTCCAATATTAGAAATAGCACATAAGTATCTTGACAAACAGTTAAAAGCAAAGACGTAAGACAAAATAAAATTTGATTATCAGCGAACAAACTATTAAATTAAATTAAAATTATGTAAAATTATTTATTACTATACAGGAAAACTATTGAATTTATAATAGCAGTAGGTTATTCATAATGGGAATGTAAATTGAAGTCTTAAGGAAAAAAAGTTTATCCTGCTTAAATTTAAATGATAATCCAAGGATATCAAAGAATTATGTATTTTAATGTTTATTATTAAATATCATAATAATATAGCTGACACGTTTAACGTCAAAATTATCATTTGTCTTGTATGCAGAATATTATTTTCTTGATTTTATATAAATATTTAAATCTTAATAAAATTGTATTCCCTATTTATTTAATATTTCTCAAGTATTAGACTGTTGATAGATTACAATAATTTATTACATATTTTTATATGTTTTTCTCATTCTTTAACTTAAAATTCTTCTCGTATTAATATTTTAAATCCCTTTTTTCCATGTTTAAAGACATATTTGTGATTTCATGACATTTTCTGTACTCTGCGTGATTGCAACCGTAACTAATTAATGCTTTTATTAAACGCCCTACTATTAGTTGGAATCGTGCTATTATTAGTGCTCATGTAAAATAGGTTTTGTAGAAATGTCTTTTTTATTACAAGGCACTTTTGGTTGTTTAAAATATGGCCTTCATCCGTGCAAAGACGTGCACAGTATATTCTGCCAGTGTCGTGTAAAATGGAGACACGATCCGGGATTAACTTTTAAATGAAAAAAAATTTAAAGGCCTCGACTGAAATCACAATAACAACTTTGTTATTACATCTAAAACAACACAAAATAGATTAGATGTAAACTTAGGAGATGTATACTGTATAAACAAGGCACTTTTAAGGTCCACTTCCGAAGTTAATGACTTAAGTACTTACACATGTCAGTGATTTAGAAAATACAATTGTCCGAAAAAATCAAATGTCAAATTGGTAAATTCTTTTGTTTTTATTGAAATATAACTTCGACGGTAGACAAGTACTTTCTTCTGAGTTGTTTCTTGACTATATATAATTTTGATGGTTTTTATAAGTAGGTTTAAAAGAAAACGATTTGAAATTTATTTTTTCTAAGTATTGAAAACTGTTTACAGATTTGGATCTCTTAATAACTTACCACTGCTGCGACTGTAGTCCAGAAGTTACCAAACAGGTCATCGACCTCCACATCACAGCCAGAACACTGTTCACGAGCTTCTTCAAAGATCGAGTTATTGATAAAAGAATTATAGACACGCTGAAACTTACGTATGTCATTATAATTATTATTATTACTTTTATGTTTAATTCTCTTCATCATGAATGTAAAAGTTGTTCCTGGTATGACTGAGGCAAATTTATAGCAAATTTGATTGAAAAACTCAACTAAATGAAGAAAAATATACTAAAAGAGCCTATTAACATGTTCTTTCGTTATAATTCCAGCTTGCTTACGCCACTAGCAACACCAACTGTCCATGGTTATCGTGCATTGTACTGTTGTCTATTGGATGGAGACGCAAAGAAATTTAACTTCACCGATATTATCAGGAGTGTCATGCTTGTATTTGACCTGTGGCAGTACGAGGAAGGGACTTGGCCAGGGTAGGAGAATTGAATTGCTATTCATTGAATAGATTTGTTTGAACGTGGAGTAACTTATAATTTTCTTGCAATCTTAACTTATGATAAATAATGATTTATTTGGTATCATTTAGAGTCATAACAAAAATAATATTTAATATCAAAATGTTACATCAAAACTCTTAATATATATTCTAGTTCTTTACAACTTTTTGAAATTTTTGAGAAAACCTATTTATTAATTGGGTCTTGTATGTTAAGAAACATATAAAACTACTTATAATTCAAAACACGTGGATATTCATTAAGGAAAGATGTAAAGCTTAATGGCCTATAATGCTAGGTTAATGGACATTTTTTTTCCAGATTTGTTATAATAATAGACATGAATCTGGCGACCTTAAGCCATATCGCCAAGTTAGATCTGATGACTATACGTCAGACGCTCTACTTCCTCCAGGTGAATACATATTACTACACATGAAAAGCCACCTCTTTTACTTGAATAGTGTTACATTTGTACCTGTTTTAATACTCACTAAATGAAACACAGTAAAATGAACTATATTTCTTAATAGTTAAGATTGAGAATGGTGTTAGTTAATGAAACTATTTTAGGTTTTTAGTTAATGAAAATATTTCATTTATTATCTGTTTTCGATAAAAATATAAAAATTCTAACGACGATAAAGACATATTTATACATCTAGATATTTAAAAGAAAGTGGTGTTAGTTACACTATTTATAACTTAAGAACTGTTAAAGGGATATGGTTGAAAATTGGTGGAGAGATAGATTAGAATCAGGAGACGGACCTATGATATTTAATTCTGTTCGATAGAAAAAAAAACACTTAATAGATTACAATATCTGGTTATTTATGGCCTCTAGGGCGGAATAGAATTCGCCCGGTCAGCTGTACATATATGTACTAATAATGCCGAAATTGACGCAGACGAAGTCGCGGGCAAAAACTAATTACATATAATAGAGTTTGATCTGAGATTATATCTAGCATTGCAATCTCGACAGTCAATTCGCAATTATATAAATAACAGAAATATAATAATTTTAGGAATGCATGCTGGTGAAACTGAAAGAGGTACATTTTTTAAACGCGCCGCCCTTCATGGATAAACTAATGATGGTGTTGAAGCCATTCATGAAGAATTCTTTGCTACGTATCCTACAAATTCACGAAATTAACTCTCAAGTAATTTATAAGTACGTCCCGAAAGAGGCTTTTCCAAAGGAATGCGGAGGATCCTACAAGGACTTTAAAACATTGAGAGGTAAGTACTATAAAAACATATAATTTCATTTACTTACAACTAGAGTGTTCAATACATTTTTGATGTCTGTTCCAGATGAAACTATCCGTCGCCTGGAGAACAATAAGGAATTCTTTAAACAAGAAAACCTTCGTAGAGTCAATGAATCCTTGCGGCCTAATGGTAAAACAAAAACCATAGAAGATATTTTTGGAATTCAAGGCAGCTTCAAGAAACTTGATATAGATTAAGAAAAATACAAAACATGCTCTGGTAATTTATTGTTAAATAAATATATGAATCTTTATTTTTTTTTGGAGCTATATAAATCTTTGTTACATGTATCTGGTATTATTCTTACCGAATCCCTTTATTTCCTCGTTTTATTGTAAAGATATTGTGTATTTTTCACAACCTGCATTGGAAAATACGGCCTACCGTATGATGTGTGTCCACTAAATACATGAAACTATTTCATTGAATATATGAAAATCATTATACACGCTTCATGGAGCGTAAAAATTGTTAAAATATGGAAAAATCACAATTATCTCGTCACATGAAGTGTGTGAGACAATTTATATTCGCTTTGTTGTTATCCATGGTGCAAGCTATTTTTTTCAATGAGGGGGTAATTTTGCACAATTTTATAGCACAGTACAGATATATAAATCCAAATATTCTGGGCGTACATCAGTCCCAACTATCCGGTGCAAGATGAAGTTCCTCATGACAATTCTGTCCTTTATGGCGATAATTTTTACGGCCATGGTAAGTTTGTTTTGATAATAATATTGCTCCATAAAAATGTTATGTTATTTTTTGCATGGCTTGGGATCTTTTTGGGTGCTATATATGATGTGTATTATAATATTTCATATTATACAGGGAGGCCTAGCTATAGCTCCTGCAGCTCATATAAAGGGTGCTCCACACGACGCCGCTTGTGGTCGCGGTCCACCCCCTCCTCCTCCGCCTACCAGTACGTATTAGCAATATTGTCCATATAAAACTTAATAAGAACTTACATTTCGCCAGAAAGACTGTTCTGAAATAATATAGCTCATATCATTCAAAAGCAGAAACTTTTATACAGTTACACTATACAATTCTTTGGTAATGCTTAAGCATAAATTTTGCTCAACAAAAAAGTCAAGAATAGCGGCATTACGAATAGTTAAAGTATTTGGATATATTGCCTTCTAGAAGTAATAGTATTGTGTTTGCGAAGTTTTTATCTCCTTTTTCTTTTTTGATGATTTTAATCCAAGACCTGTTTTCACAGACAGCACCGGCTAACTCCTGACAGATTTCGATGGCTGTTTCACGCGACCATGACTATGGCTATGTTAAATAAATTTACGTATATATAAAACTGTTTTTTATTTACAGAACGTTCCTTTTATTATATTATTTTTACAATATTGTCTATTAACCTTGTGTTTGAAGCTGAGGAATAATTATTATTTATGCAATAATAATATGTACCACAAAATACAATTTGGAAATGAATTATACTATTGTGCACATACTGTTATTTCCTAGCAGTTTGAAGAGATACATATATTCTTAATCTTTTGGCTCGTGTGGGCAAATACCAATACCACAAAAAACATCTATTTTATATACGTTTATTTATACCCATAACAGATTTATTTGAAGTGACAGTCAAGTTGGGTACCGGTTAACTAGTCAAATAGGAAAAATAACTTTAATTATAGAGTAACTCATAACAGTATATTGCAAAACTAGTTTTATTTCGTAAGCACAATAATTATAAAAATTTCATCTATTGCATTATTAAAAACTGTGTAGCTTTGTTACATATCAATTCGCTGAAATCATATTCACAAAGGAATCGTTATCCTTGACATTATCACTATATAGGAAATTCCATGAATATCCCTAAAAGTTACTTTTTTACTGAGTATAAACTCCATCGCCATGGTTTTGAAACAGAAGGAACCAATACCCACTGTAACCTGATTTAGTTGCTGTATTTGAATGTAATGCAATAAAATTACGAGGTCCTCGGACTGTATAAAGGATTCCTTTAAATAAATACAGTTTTTCAAATCAAATGTTTTATTGGAGTTATAAGTACTCTGTATTACAATAGGTTTCTTTTTTATTAATACATTATACTCTAAATACTATTATAATGACCGTATTGAAATATATGACGTAAAATGACAGAGATAAAAAGTAATTTTAAAGGTAGTTTCCATTAAAAGTGTTATTATATTTGGATAACTACTTGTACTTTAATGATAGTTGCTCGCCCCGTTGTCGATGATGTAATTAGAAGAAGTTATTCCTACAGCTTTGTCGCTAGCCAAAAATAAAACCAAATGTGCTATCTCTCGTGGTTCAGATAATCTTTTCAATATCGTTGCATTCTCTAGTTCATTCCAAGTCAGCGGTATATTTGATCTGTCTATCAAACTTGTTTTGACAGGTCCTGGGCTGATAGTGTTAACTCGTACACCCTTGGGACCCAACTCTAAGGCTGCACAAGCGGAGAAATGGTTCAAACCAGCCTTAGTGACACAGTAACTTATAAAATTTGGTAATTTCGGTGTTATTGATCCTCCAACGCTCGAAATGTTTACAATGTTGCCTTTAGTTTTTATCAAATGAGGTGCAGCAAGTTTCGTCAGATGGATCACGGCGCGGAGATTCACACGCATTAGATTATCGTATTCATTCATAATGTCACCTTCCAGAATACAAGAGGTATTGCTTCCGAGGCCCGCGTTATTCACCAGCACGTCCAGTTTACCAAATTGCTTAATAGTTTCATCTATAATTCTCCGCGCGTCATCATCATTAGCTACATCAGCTCGTATGACGAGTGGTTTGTCACACTCGGCGGCCACAGCTGACAACTTGGCCTCGTTCCGTCCAACCATCACAACCTGAGCTCCCTCTGAACTGAACTCCTTCGCCACGGCAGCTCCGATACCAGAGCTGGCTCCCGTCACTATCACTACTTTATTATTGAAACTCATGTTGAAAAATAACATCCATTCGACGCGATATGCCTTCCTTTATACTGGTCTGAGTTATCACAATAATTATTTATAGAATTGATGGACTTAATAAAACATAAAAAACATGTATGTTCGTTGATTATTACCAGTTTTTTATGTATAATGAGGTGTCTTAGAAAATTTATCGTGTGAATAGAATTGTTTACAATTTACTATGGCTAGATATAAGAATTATGTGAAATAAAAGATTTTATGAATTCTCTAATTTGTACAATTTAATCTCTATTTTTTTTTAATTGTCAGCTTTTTTGTTATTATTTATACATTATATATTATTTAAATAATTGTAGGACCACTCTTAGTCTTGTATTACAAACCAGTAAACAATATTTATCATCACCGAGCAATAAATGACGTCGACATTAAAATATATATGAATAATTATTTTAACAGAATCCATACTTTTATCTTAATATTACTGTTCATTATTCTATTTTTATTACAAAAATAAACGAGATAATGTCCTAAGATTTGCAAACGTCGAACTGCTAGTTGCGTAGCCTAATTCCTACTTCAACTTACTTTGACGACATAATTAAATAAGTCATTAGAATAAGAAAAATATTCTAAGGTATAATTTTGGTGCCTTGAATGTAAAGTCAATTTATTTAAAATTTAGTAAGTACACACTAACAAGAATTGTTATTTTTTCAAGGCTTGTATTCATAGTTGTAGAAAACAAATGTCAGAGTCAGAATAAATTTGAATTCTTTAAAATTAGTGTTCCCTTCAAAAAAATTTTTTGATATCCAATGAGTTGAATTACATATACGTGCTATGCACAAGTCACCCAATAACTTCCAAATGGTCTTTAATTTATTTCTCATATTCCAACTATATATTTATCGAAAACTTCTGGCACTATTTTATCAAAACGAATCCAATCAGAATGGGTTTGACGAGGTTTTTTATAATATGATGACGGAATCAAAACCTTTAATGCATGACAACTGGATTTTTATTTAAAAGCTCTTATGAAAATATTACATTTTTACAAATATAACAAATTGAACGATATTTAAAGAAAAAGACAGCTACGATGAAGAATATTTGTGTCTGGAACATAGGAATCAAAATCTAATTACGTAAAGCGATAGCCCCATTGTCGCTCACGAAGTTAGAAGCAGTAATTCCTCTCGCTTTGTCGCTAGCCAGGAACAACACCAAGTCGGCAATTTCATCCGATTCGGATATACGTTCAAGAATAGTAATTTTTTTTATAAAAGAAGTGTTTAGTTCCATTTTGGCATTCTCAACGAAATCCGTTTTGACTGGGCCTGGACTGACTGTGTTCACACGAACACCTTTACGACCCAACTCCAAAGCTGCACAAGCAGAAAAATGGTTCAAGCCGGCTTTAGTCACGCAGTAGTTTATAGCAGTGGGTATAATCGGAGTCAAGGTTCCCGCAACGCTCGATATATTGACGATGTTACCCTTTGTCTTTATCAAATGTGGTGCAGCCAGTTTCGTCAAATGAACCACTGCCCTCAGATTAATACTCATTAATTTATCGTAATCTTTCATGATGTCCCCTTCGAGAAGAGTAGCTGCGTTACTACCCATACCCGCATTATTCACCAGCACGTCCAGTTTACCGAATTTTTTGATAGTTTCATCTATAATTCTCCGCGCGTCATCATCATTAGCGACATCGGCTCGTATGACGAGTGGTTTGTCACACTCGGCGGCCACAGCTGACAACTTGGCCTCGTTCCGTCCAACCATCACAACCTGAGCTCCCTCTGAACTGAACTCCTTCGCCACGGCAGCTCCGATACCAGAGCTGGCTCCCGTCACTATCACTACTTTACCTTTAAAACTCATGTTGAAAAATAAATGCTTGACGCTTTCAAACACTGCCTTATTTCGTAGTGTCTTGGGCAATATATATGTTTTTCACTATGCACTTGAGTTAGATTTGATAACGTGTAAAAGAAATTGAATTTTATGCCCTTAAATTTAAGAATTAATTTAGATTCTAGTTCTGCTGGCTGTTATCAGACTCTTATTGAAAATAATTCTATTTGAGATAAGTACACATTTCCTATACAGTAAAATACACTTGATGCATTTCCTACTAATATAAAGTAGATCCGAACTGAAGGGTGGTTTGTTTGAGCTATTTATAGTAATATTTTTTTTGTATTTACCTAAAGAATAATCTCTATTGCAATATTATCTGAACCATACAAAACTGTATCTGAAACTAATGATCATTAGTGAAAACAAATAATTAAGTATGTACTCAAGTTTGCATTCAGATATATGAAGAAGAATTTAATTAAGAAATTATATATTGAATCAGTTCATAGCATAAAGTTTATAGGAACGAACCCGCGGGCAAATACAAGTTTAATATGCATAATTAATATTTAAAATTGAGATAAGTGAAAACACTACAGCATTATGAGTGTTTATCGTTGTTTATTTATGTACTTGTAAAATGATAAATATAATGGAAAACTACCAATACAATTAATCAGTTAAGTAGTATATACTTTCTGTATACTATTTCTTTTATTTATTATATATATTTCGTTTCGGTTACTTTATAACAACAATGACCATTGGCAGACGAGATGTAGTTTATAATCAAAAATAAAAATCGCGTAGTAAATGAGAAAATATTAGATTCATTTAAATGAATACTCGTCAATATCTTAGATCTCACTATCTTTTATTTATATTCTAGACTATTTTTGATATATATGTATTAAAATAATCATATATTAAGAGACGCAGTTATTTTATAGATCCTTGCCTGGTTATTTAGAATTTATTTAGGACCATTATTGACGTTCTTTTAAATGTCATTCTAGTGGCACCTATCTATGAGGGGAAAGATATATGTAGTCAAAAGCTTTTCACTCTGCATAAAAATAATGACTTGATTGAAAAATATTTTCTATTTTTCAGTTAGATCAGCTATAAAAACATATTTTTTTCTACTATTATTTATTTTTAATTTTTTAATTGAATTAATTCTAAGAACGAAAGAGTAAACCCAAACTGCAGACATTCGCAGACTACGCACTAGCTCTCTCTGTCTAGAATCTAGATAGTAGTAATTCTACTGCAGAGATCTATAAAGGAATTCATTAATCCTGGCGGTCCTAATAAGGATAATGGAAAACTGTTATCAAATTATTACATTATCATCGCTCTTTGATAGGCATATTTAGAGGTGGTAGAGCCTAACTGTGGTAGGTCACTACAGTTCGAACATGGGCTGGCTCGACCGGGGAAGTACCACCCTCCCACAGAAGATCGGCGTGAAGTAGCCTTCAATGGCTGCGTTTCGTCTGATGAGTGGGAGAGCCGGTTGCCCTTTCCTTTCCCCACCCTTCCCTCTCCCAGGATGTTGATGTGTTTGTTGACTTTCTGTCCTACATTTGTCGAAGTCTGTTTTGAGATGTTGAGCGTGTTTCATTGGCATGGGGTCCAGGGAGACCCGATGAAACGGTTTACCGCTGGCCGCCCGTTGGTCCGTAGGGGACCCGAACCTAGACTATCCCGATCTAGGAGGCTGTCCCACCGCCAATGCCAAAAGCCCGTCGGTTGCTGACTGTGCCGGAGTGGGAGACCGGGGTGGAACCCAGTTTGCAGCCGCGGGTCGGATCGGGGGCCCTTCCGTGCCCCATGCCAGTAACACACAAAACTCTACTCTCAATTCAGATCAATGGCAATGTTCTTTGACAGGATAGTTGATGGGCCATCAACATCCTTCCTTCACTCCCACTTCCTGAACAAAAAATATATATATGGCTGTCCAAAATAAGGTAATTAAGGTCACTACAGCGGCGACCCCTTCCACGTTTGTAGTGGACTTTTGCAACATAAGGGGTATTCACTCCAATCTTAATGCTGTCCATCACCACCTAGAGATAGCTAAGCCGGCCTTGTTATTTTTGACCGAGACGCAAATATCCAATCCTCAAAATACCTCGTATCTGCATTACCCCGGTTACAGACTTGAGCACCTTTTTCTACCGCGGGCCGGGGTATGCTTATTCGTCAAGGAGGATATTTGTTGTCAACGTCTTGACAGCCTTGAACATAAGGACCTGTCAGTGATGTGGGTGCGAGTGTACAACGGTAACTCAAACCGTATCTACGCGTGCCTGTACAGGTCCCATAGTGGTAACACCGAAGTCGATCGTCTCTTTGGACACATCCAGGAGGCTACAGATTTTGTTCTCCAGCGGTATCCCAGCGCGGAGGTAGTGATCCTAGGCGACTTTAACGCCCACCATTGCGAATGGTTAGGATCACGTACCACAGACTACGCTGGAAAAGCCGCAAATAACTTTGCTCTGGCTTATGGGTTAACTCAGGTAGTTCCAGAACACACTCGGATCCCTGATGTTGAGGACCATAACCCCTCTTTGCTGGACCTTCTGCTGACCACTCGCCCGGACCGCTACAAGGTGTCCGTCAATGCACCCCTTGGGTCATCTGATCACTGCCTGGTGCACTCCGAGACAAAATTAGCGCCAACCACGACTTCCCGTCCACCCGGAAGACGTCTAGTTTGGCACTACAAGTCGGCAGACTGGGAAGGATTGCGAGAATTTTACGCATCCTACCCCTGGAGGCAGCTTTGTTTTTCTTCGGACGATCCTTCGATCTGCGCGAACGCCGTTGCGGATACTCTTCTGCAGGGAATGGAATGTTTCATTCCCAGCTCTGTTATTCGCACGGGGGGTAAGTCTCAGCCCTGGTTTGATAGATCCTGTACAGAAGCGTTACGCTCGAAACAGTTGAAATATCGATCATGGGCTGCGGCATCAGCTGCGAAGGATCCAAAAACGTCCGAATTGAAAAAGGGTTATAATGCTGCCTCCAGGTCTTGCAAAAAGGAGATTTCCAGGGCAAAGAAGGAGCACGTTCGCAGAATTGGAGAGAGACTACTTAACGTTCCCTCAGGAACTCGTTCTTTTTGGTCTCTCGCCAAAGCGGTACAAGGCAATTTCTGTAAGTCTTCCCTACCATCCTTGCACAATCCTGATGGAACGCTGGCTAATTCCGCAAAAGAGAAGGCTGATCTTCTGTGCACTCTTTTTGCGTCGAATTCAACTCTTGACGATGGAGGAAAAGCACCGCCTACCATCCCGCGGTGCAGGGAAAATATGCGCAATGTGCGTTTTACGCAGAGCGCTGTGCGTGCCGCCCTGTCATCCCTCGACGTCAAGAAATCCAGCGGCCCAGACGGTATCCCAGCCATTGTGCTTAAGATGTGTGCTCCTGAATTGACTTCGGTCTTAACGCGCCTATTCTCACTCTCTTATACTACTGGTAAAGTTCCGTCTTCGTGGAAAGTGGCCAATGTCCACCCTATCCCCAAGAAGGGTGACAGCACAGACCCATCCAATTATAGGCCTATTGCGATCACTTCCCTACTCTCAAAGGTGATGGAGCGGATCATCAATACGCAACTTTTAGGTTATCTAGAGGATAACCAGCTTATTAGCGACCGTCAATATGGCTTTCGCCACGGACGAAGCGCTGGTGATCTTCTAGTATACCTCACGTATCGATGGGCTGAAGCCATTGAAAGCAAAGGGGAGGCCATGGCGGTCAGCCTAGACATCGCAAAGGCTTTTGATCGGGTCTGGCATCGCGCACTTCTATCGAAGCTACCATCGTACGGACTACCCGAGGAATTATGCAACTGGGTAGCCAGCTTCCTTCATGGGCGGAGCATTCAGGTCGTTGTTGACGGTTCTTGCTCGGAACCCAAGCCCATCAACGCTGGCGTGCCCCAAGGCTCAGTACTATCACCAACGCTGTTCATTCTGCATATCAACGACATGCTGCATACCAGCAACATTCGGTGCTATGCAGATGACAGTACTGGTGACGCTTATTACATGGGCCGAGCTAATATTCCTCGTGACCAAGTAGAAGAGAGCAGAAAGAGACTTGTGTCTGAAATTGAGACCTCCCTGGAGCAGGTTTCCGAATGGGGTAAGCTGAACCTTGTTCAGTTTAATCCCAAGAAGACACAAGTTTGCGCGTTTACCACTAAAAAGACCCCATTTACTGTAGCTCCAAAGTTCCAGGACATTCCCCTTAAGATCAAACAGAGCATTGGGATCCTTGGGGTTGACATAGCGAACGACGTTCAATTCCGGAGTCATTTGGAGGATAAGGCTAAACTAGCATCAAAAAAACTAGGGGTACTGAGTAGAGCGAGGCAGTACTTCACACCGGGACACTTGCTTTTGTTATATAAAGCACAGGTTCGTCCCCACATGGAGTATTGTTCTCACCTCTGGTCCGGTGCCCCACAGTACCAACTTCTTCCACTTGACTCCATACAACGTCGGGCAGTTCGTATTGTCAACGATCCCATGCTCACAGACGATCTAGAACCCCTAAGTCTCCGAAGGGATGTAAGCTCCCTTAGTGTGTTCTATCGTCTGTACAATGGGGAATGTTCCGAGGAACTGTTTGATGTAGTGCCATCGTCTACATTCCACCATCGCACTACTCGGCGTAGGGTTGGATTTCATCCACATCATCTGGATGCATTCAGTTGCAGGACTGTACGTGCGTCGCGATCATTTTTTTCACGCACGTGCAGGATGTGGAATGATCTTCCGCCCGAGGCTTTTCCAGAGAGCTACAACATGGGGTCTTTCAAACATCACGTGTTCAGGTGGCTCCTTCACAAACAAGGCCGGCAACGCATCTACAACACCCCTTGTGTTGCAGATGTCCATGGGCGACGGTAACCACTTACCATCAGGTGGGCCGTCCGCTCGCTTGCCCCTTTGGGACATAAAAAAAAAAAAAAAAAAAGGCATGCAAAGTTTCAAATTATTCAGACTTCTAGAAACCGGTGAAAATTAAGCTCGAGAATCCATTATACACATACGACCCAAGCTAATGAAAACGTGTTAAAAAATACGAATATATTCTCAAATTACTTAGAAAACTACTATAAATAGAGTTGTTTAAAAGAATCGTTTGTTGTAAGTTTATGAAAAATTGTATTATTTTTTATTAAATAATACATAACCAATAGTCAAGGATGGTTGAAGCATATTTACGTCTTTTGATAGTTAAAATAAATATCGCAGTAAACAATTAATATCTGTGCTAATGAAGGAATAAGATAAAATTAGAAGCTTTTCAAACTTCTTTCTTTTATGTATCTTTAATTAGAAATTTTTATTTAGTCATCTACCGTTATATATCGCTTCTTTCGCAATCAGCTTTTATTTTGTCATTTAAAATCAAGACTTTGGTTTTTCGTTACAACTACCTAGTTATCATTTAGAATGACTTTGAAATGTAATAAAGTTTTCTTTTAATTAATTTGCATTGCCCTTGCATTTATTATTTTAATAAAAAGTTAATCTTGCAGTACATGTCGGTGAAGCAAGTCGACGAGTTTTTTTTTAACAAATCTTCCTACGTATAACAGATTTCTTAATGATTAATTATGAAAACAGTTTTACAGGCTCACACATATAACACGTAAAACTAACCCATTCTTATTAAGTATTGTCAACTGAGAATTGTAAGAGCAATGCTTGGAATAAGTTAGAGATATAAATAAAATAACAAACTATAAATGGAAATAAGTAGAAGTTATACAAGGAATTCCCATTGTTTTAATATACGCAATGAAAACAACGAGTATAGATAAATATTTTTATTATAAGAAAATATATGTTATAATGTCCAACACGTTATATCACATATTAAAAATAATGTTCTTGATTTTAAAATAAACATTTATAATTACTTTTTGCGATGACTTATACAAGCTAGAATAATATTTCTTTTAAATATATCATGGAATGGGAGTAAAATAATATTTAATATCGAGTTTTATTCTGAAAATTTGAGGTATAACCACGAACACGTCAACAAAGTTGAAATTATAAATAAAAGAAGTATCGTACTAAACCAATGAGTATATTGATACGCATTTATTCAGATCTTTTATAAAGCGGACTTAATTAAAAACTACAATAGTATATAAATCATTAAATATTTGATCTACGTTGTTTGTCACACAAACATTTTTGTATAGTTTAAGGCAGCCATTCAGCGTCATCTTTGAGAGATCGTACGGGCTTGTCGGGGCTCTCTGTCAAGTCCTCCTTACTGCTGGTGACCTTGTGGTAAACCTTCTTCCCAGCATCAACCACGTACTCCACACCGTCAGCTGAAATATTACAATTATGGTCAGAATGCATAAGATTATATAGCAAAACTCCTGGTGAATTTATTTGCCTACGAAACAAAGACTTGCTTAATTTTTAAAACATAATAATTTTATTCTAAATTTTATGTCTGTATATAGGCCTCAAATATTTCACTGGGAAAATTCCTTAGAAAAGAAATATTAGTCAGATATTATTGAATTAAAAACTGAATGTAGAAAATGACGAAACGATTCTCTTGTGAAATTTTATTTAAATATTTTTTCAGTCTCTTACCAATGACGGTGCCGGTTTTTCTGACAGCTTCTCCTATGTTATGTGATGAGAAGGTCTCAGGATCTATGTTGATGTTGACACCGTTGCTAGTCCCGTTGGGATGTTTCGGGCATTCAGTCTGCGATATAATTGACAAGTCATACGGGTCCACACCGAAGGATGACAACTTGGCCCGCATCTGGAAGACAGAGCAAATATAGCTTGAACTAATGGATCATCGAATGAATTATCTTCCAATGAGATTCACTAAGGTTAATTTGCTGATTAATTAAGAATATTGGTCTACTTACTTTATCCACATACATCTTATCCAACTCCTTATGCCTGGAGAGTATGGTGGCTGAACGGCGATGAGCGAATGCCAGTTTCTGGCATGTGAATATGGCAGCGTAATTTGTATAATCGGTGGCCATGATCGTGTAACTAGCGGATCCGGCGACACCTGAACAATAAATAAGAAATACAATTGAAGATTAGATGGATGTCACAATTTTCGTACTCCAGAAATAAATAGGGTCAATGAACCAAATCAAAGATCGTGGTAGTATAAGTTAGTACTATAGTTTTTGTGACTAAATATTGAGAAAATTCTTGTATTACAACTCACTTAATGGGAAATTAACTTTCATCCGGGCTGGCACTGCAGGATCAGGAACTGTTAAAACACCAGTGTATCTGAAAAGTATAGCAATATAGATATAGAAGGAGAACACAGGAAGAAAAACAAATTGCCTTAAACCTTTAAGGAATATATTGAAGAATATCTTCGGCTTTTATAGAGTAGCAATGAGATACACCTTGTGATTGGTTGTAATAAATTAATATTAGAAATAGATTGACTCATAAATATTTTTACATACAATTAAAGTATCTAAAATTGTATCTTCTGTTAAACACAATCGTCCAAGTAAGAAATGTTCTACTTATATATAATAATGGAAAATTTTACAATAGTTTTTGTCAAACAAACATTTCAGTAAACTAATAACAGTATATTATACAAAATCATGATTGGAAGAATGAATGAAAAACATAACAATACTATTGCCGTCTTCCGTTACTGACGTATTAACGTAATGCGTAACTTATTACACTTAGTTATTGTACTCGAGATGCAGATATAAAAGTGGCCAGAAATACGAATAATGCTGAATATTACATACATACATACATACATACATACATACAGAATGTTTATTCGCAGTTAGCATAATATAACATCTAAATTTCTACAACCTACTAAAAGACTTGGGCCTGTCCAGAACTAACATTCATTCTTGGAACGTAATAGGCAGCCCTAGTAGGTTCTTTTCAAATTTAGTAAGGTAGAGAGAGGAGCTTGGACGATAGAGGTACACCTGGGTACACCTGGGTCACAAGTCCCAGGTACTGTTGAAGCTTCTCTCCCTGTAACGATGGACCCCTCACCCGCACGGTGAATCCATTGAATGCTACGAAGTTTTGTCTTCTTCATGTATACTATCACTATATATATTTTAGCAGCAAATATTTTGGGACTATCGTTTAGCAGGCGTACCTATAGTCATGATTCAACGGAGTCAAGCCTAGGATGAAGTGCTGCGACAGTTGTTCCAGCTCGTAGTGACCAGGCTCGTCTGTTCTCGTGAAGTTATACGTGATGCAATGAGATGCTGTCGAAGTCTTTTGAATCACGTACCACACTCCCAACATCTGGTAAATAATGTATAGTTGTTATATATATATATAAAAACCCAACAGCTCTATATATATATATATATATATATATATATATATATATATATATATATATATATATATATATAGAACTGTTGGGTTTTTTTATATTGGAACTTCTAAATGTCATAATGATAATATCTTTATAAGCTGAGGTCGAGGTAACTTGTTTTGCTTTATCAACTTGTTTATTACTAACCCCGAAATGGTTGAGAATTACGTGTATTCATTTATCCGATGATTTTAAGCTAAATAGGATTATTATTTTATAATAATCGCTTAATAAATATATGTATTAAATGATTGAAACTAGTGTATATGATAGATAAATGGAATACTTATTTACTATCAATGACAATGACCTCAAAGCGAACTTAATTTGCCTCATCGACTTATCGGTTTATGATGTTCGGTAAACGGTAAACAAACAAGAGTAAATCATTAAGCAGAAAAATATATAATGAGATTACAAGGACTTTCATTTTAAGCAAAATATTGAATTAGGTAAGTCATTATATCGTAACAGAAATTTAAGAAAAAATTGTTAAATGTAAGTATGTAATAAAATAGTTTTTATAGTTTTTATAACAAATCGTTATATATATATATAAAAGAAAGTCATTTTAGTTACACTATTTATAACTCAATAACGGCTGTACGGGTTTGGATGAAAATTGGTGGAGATATAGATTAGAACAAGGGAAAGGACATAGGATACTTTACATCTCTTTGAAAGAGAATAAAAATAAAGTTGATTAATTCCAAAATCTTCTTATCTACTGTCTTTGAAGAGGAATAGAGTTCGCCAGGTCAGCTATACATTTCTAATTCAAAAACTAACGCAGACGCAGTCGCTAGCAAAAACTAGTATATTATAAACCCATATTTCAAAGAATGAAATTTTCATAAGTAAAAAATGTTCATGTATTTTATAAGTTTAATATTTTAAACAAATCTCTCTTATTGAAATCACGATATTATTATTACGTCGACGTACCTATATGATAACAATAACTGGAACGTCCAAGCAAAAACATACATACATAATAATAAGGATATTACCTGGTTCATATCAAATCCTGGCATCGGTTCCACCACGGGGCAGGCTCCTAGGTGGTAAGTATGAGATATGGCGCTGCCACATAGCGCTAGCAACAAATATATTGATACAAGATACATTTCGTGTATTTTTCTTCCACACGTCCGACGCTCACAGAGGTCAAAGCACCACTGGCGAGTTCAACTGGATGCGACACCGTTTTATTCTTTTGTAAACAGTGAGTAAGTGTTCTAAGAAATGCTATAATCAATTCGTTTAAAATTGAGGGAATCGGATTTTGTACTCCGTAGAATAATTCGTATGGCTTCTTTTATAAGTAATCCTATTTCATTGTTATCTAATTTAACCACAGTATTGTGTTTTCAAAGAAATTAGCAATCTAATTAGTCTATTTTCCTTAAAGATTATAAAATATTTAGGATTTGTATGACCCTGATAAATTACAAAAGACGGTGGTAATGTTTTGTTTGGTATTTAATTACCTGGTTGTATTTAGACTTTCAATGCCAATAACTAGAGAAGCTGAGAATTTCTGCATACAAAATTAAACAACTCAAAATTACTCCTATAATTTTTGTAGTACTATGTTCTTTCGTAAAGGCTGCTGCAAATAATTCATATAAATAAATACAGTTGTTATACAAAGAAATTTAGCTTGTATTAAAAACAAATCTCAGACATGAGTCATATAATAACAACTCGTTTTGTAGAACAAGCTGATATGTAGATGATTCATTCAAAATTATTCATAATTAAATAATTACATGAACATCACAAAAACAAAGATAGAAAGATAAGTCTTATACATATATCGGAGCGGAGAAAGAAATCGATCCATTTAAATAGTCTCATAAAATTTTACCAGGAAAAAAGGTAACGTTAATTTAAATAACATTTGCATTTTAATGTTTTAAACAGAATCTATAGAATAATAAATAAAGAAACACATAAGAAAGCAAGTTTGAATGAAGGATAAAGTCTGAGAATTCTTAGAAGTCGTGCATTATATTATTAATTAATGAAAGTAGGGGGCAGTAAGTAGTTCAATTCAGAACAAATGACGCATGTTATAAACGGCAACATCCCGCAAACAACTGCTTCATTGACTACACTCCCTTTTGACGTATAGGAGTCACTTAAACGTCTAATACCAATTTAACAAGGCCTCAGTGGTAACGGAAAGAATTATTTAGACTTTAATATGACGATAAACAACTCTATATATATCTTGTAGTAGTTAAAAAAAGATTTTTTTAGCATACGTCTACCTAATGGAGGTACTGTCAGCCATGGACATCCGTAATATAGATTTTCGGATTTGCCACCTTTGATTGGAGAGGAATTGGAGGGAAGAAAAGGTGGGAAAGAGACGGAAAAGAGAAAAAGCAACCATCTCTCTCACTCATCGGACGAAATGCAGCCATTAAAGACTACTTCACGCCGATCTTCTGTGAGAGGGTGGTAAAAAGTTACAAGGGTCTGCTATAAAATTAAATTGTCGGTTATGTAAAGTATAAGGAATGCTCATCACTCCAGAAGATTTTCTACATAGATATGAATTAGTATTTCCTTGAAGCAAGAAACCGTAATGGAACATGAAGGAACATGATGTATAACATTATCTTAATTGAGATCTAGATATAGGAGTTACAAACTGTCCAAAGGAAATATACAGGATGTTTTATTTACAAATAACGTACGATTTAATTCATTTTATTCTAAAAATAGCTTGTTTTATGACGTCATATTGTAGAAAGCATTATGACGTCATAAAAAGAATCTGATTGTCAATGTATTGTCTCTTTGTTTTTTGTATGGCGATAGTTTCCGGATAATACGAAAATATGGATGAAAAACATCACTATTGTAAGGCTTGTAAGAAAACTACGATATACTATTATAATATATGTATTAAGAAATTACAAATTGTATGAAATGGCGAAATTAAGGTAAACTATTTACATAAGTGTGCTTAATGATTTTGATTCATCATCTTTTACAGCGACAGATACGTCTGAGAGCTCGCTTCAAACCACCGTAGTAGTGTATCACTTGTTCCTGGAAAATATAAATTATTCTCAATATAACTCTCAGTCTGTTTACTATTTGAAGATCAGTGAAAACTCAACACACAAACGAAAATGCCAGGAATGTAATTCGTATGTAGCTGTGGATTCAAAACATATTAAGAAAGAAAAATCTTTTAAATACTTGAAAGTATGTGTAAGAAAGAATTTTCAAGATGGAAATTTCAATTAGACTTCAGTGAGACGATGTATAATCAATGAAAAATACTGCTTAAAAAGACATGATTCTACACAGTTACACGTCTATAATATTAATTTCTGACCTCTGATCAAAGAAAATGGCTTTTATCTATAAAACATAAACATTTTTTGTTTGTTGGGACATCGCTAGCTAGATTCAATCTAAATACAAACTATGAATTAAACCTCAAATAGCAAACAATAGTAAGTATCTTCTTACCTGCATGAGATTAAAACACATGGCGACAAGAGCCATACCTAGCGTGAGGTACAGAGAACAGACGATAAAGGAAGCTTCTATACGAGGAGTGTACACTCGCTCGCCAGGAACGAAGTCACCGAAACCGATACTAGAGAACAATAGATATATAGATATAAATATCTATAGTCATCAATAGTATATATATATATATATATATATATATATATATATATATATATATATATATATATATATATATATATATATATATATATATATATATATCTAATACATAGATGTTAATAGTGGTTTTATATCAGTCTTCTCATACGTATTTAACTTTAGTACACTAAGTTAATGTTCGTTGATTATGCTTATATTATAATGTAAACGGCTAGTCTTCTTTGTAAGAATTTTTTGATGAAATTATCACTTAATATTGAATATATTAATATTATTCTGTGAGAAATATTGTGCTTCTCCTATAATTTTGAGATATATTAAGAAACGTAATATGGCAGAAAAAAATCCAAATGCTTATAGTTTTCAATTAATGGCCAATATCTAGCGTTATATAAAAATATTACTAATTTATAGATATTCATATAATTAATTATAATTACCTGCTGAGCGATATGAAACAGAAGTAAGCTCCGTCGAGTTTGTCCCACTTCTCCCAGAGACCGAAGATCATTGAACCGAACATTATATATCTGAAACATTACGAAAATAACGTTCATTACTATAAATTATAGCTTTACTTATAATAATAAAGCATTTGCAAAGAAGATTTTAGTAAATAATTTAGACATCATCTATTTTGCTATTACGTGACTGAAAAAAAGGCCAAAAAACTGGCTATATTCGATACAAGTAAGAGTAGTAAGTTAATTAATATTCTTTTCGAAATGATTGATAAGACAATACCTAAGAAAAACATATTAATCAATTATATTGATACCTTCAACAATTTTAAGAGATCTAAAATATTATACGAAGTTCGTATTTCTATCAGATTTGATCACTTTTTTTGGCAGACTTGAAAAACTAGAAAAAATGTTCTGATTGGATTTTCATCTGACTTATTATGTTGTTTAGAGAAATGCCAAAGAAGTTCATCAACTTCAAATTCCTCAACGATCAAATATGTAGAAACAATTATTTAATTTTACTAGTTTTTGGCGGCAACTTCGTCTGTCTTAGTTTCAAAATTAGAAATGTATAGCCGACTCTAACTCTATTCCTCCATAAAGACAGTAGATAAGACGACTTTTGATTTAACCAACTTTTTTTCCCAATCTAATGAAAAGTATTCTATGAGCTTTACCTTGATCTAAGCTACCTCTTCACCAATTTTCAACCATATAGCTACAATCGTTCTTGAGTTATAAATAGTGTAACTAACACGACTTTCTTTTATATATATAGATTAACTCACCCAACCATAAATGAAACGCATACACTGATAGGCACAGTGATGGTTTGAACATCGAAGGTGACGTAGCTGAATTCGCTGCTTTCTAACTCAATATGGCCGTGGGCGTTGTGATCATTCTGCTCACGATGCCCACGGAACTCTGGAGGCGGGAGAACTCTCTGACCACTGACAGACAGACAAAAAAATAACAATTACTATGAAGTTACACTTTCAGATTTGTTTATATTCAACGTTACTTCCAGTAATGTCCAAAACTGGATTAAGCTAGAACTTATAGTTTTCAAATACAGGTTGGCAATTAAATGTTGAAATAAAATTACAATGGTTCAGTATTATAATTAATGTAATCAATCATAAAATTGAAATGATTGTAGTATATTATAATTAGATGACACAGATGGCGCCACTTGTAAAATTACTACATACCATTTCAATTCTCTAACTACGCCAATTATTTCTAATAAAAAGAAACCTAATACTAATTTAAATGAATGTATAGTTTCATACATTTTTTTAACTTTACAAGTTATATATCTGTTCCAACGTTTTAATATCATTCATATGGAAATCAAGACATCAATAGAAAACAGAATAACATGTCTAAACTTAACCACATTATGTTTCAACTTTATAATCGAATCATTAGAATTATTTGTAATAGTAACAATTGATATTGAATTTACGATAACTCTTATCAATCTCAAGGTCATGGTCAAGGTCATCACCTGTAGTAGCTGATAGGGAGGTGATGAAGAGGATATCCGGTGATGACGTCATCATCAGTGTTACTAACACCAGCCTCCCAAGCGACTGGCCGCTCAATACTCTCGCCGTCACTTAACTCAAACTGAAATAAACATGATATCTCAATTTATAGTCACAATATTATTTTATTGCAAATTATTTGTCTATTAAAGGAAATTATTTGTCATTATTACAATTATCTGTTGACTGAGTTAAGTATTCAATAGGTGGCGATATGTTAAAAATACAAACGTGATATATGAGCGACTATTTAATACATAATAGCATAATCAGTACGTGTTTCTGAGGCTAAGGTATAACCTAAATTTATTTATTAAAAAATGTAACAGATATTTCTTGATTATAGGGCAACACGAAGTTCGCCGGGTCTTCTAGTTAAATATTAAAAAAACATCCTGGAATTTTCTAGAAGCTTTTTTTTTTGTGTCATCGAAATTCCAATTTACCTGTGGACGTATATGGATGATGCGTCGTCTTGAGAAACCTGGGCAACCTCTGCAGAGACAGACTAGTGCGTATATACACTTAAACCAGCTAGCTAATAGCTCACCTGGAAATTTCAAAGCAAAATATCAATGACCAGAAAAATATGACACTAATTATTATTGCAAAATATGATATTTTAAAACTTCTGTATATATTAGTCGAGCTAAAATTGCGTTAGTTATATATGAGGAGTTTTTGTTCAGCAGTGGGCTCTGATAGGCTGATGATGATGAAATGTTTGCTATTTTTGGATGATATTTTTACCGACGTTACTCAGGTATAGCAAGAATAGCGGCATGCCGAGTAGAGCGTACAGTATTGTCATGATTTTCCCCCAACTGGTCCTTGGACTGAGGTGGCCGTAACCTGTGGGAAAAAAAAATGCTAAAAAAATACTCTTTGTTATCGCAAAATAGGCCCTATGAAACAAATTTTCGTGGCTTTTTTAATATGCTTATTGTATAATTATTTGTATATTGTATAAATATATATAAATGATAATGAGATCTAAGATTTTCGCGAGTTTTATTCTTTTAAATGAAACTAATATTTTTCGGGGGTAATACCACGGAAGTATGTAGTTTTTATCAAAAATAAATTCGCGTAGTATCAGAAAAATATCAGTTAAATATTTGGACAAAACGCATTGCATTTTACTAAACAGTTTTCTATAATAATTCCAATTGCATTTTGACCGAATCTTTTATAGAATTTTCTAAGCAATACGTCTCGGGAGGAATAAAAATTAATACAATATTAAATTAATATTTCTATTTTCGTGTGTTTCACCTATAGTTGTGATGACAGTCAGAGAGTACAAGAATGCTGAGGAGAAGCTCCACTGTCGCGACGATCGCCCGCCATCCCATCCGCCGCGTGCAGCACGGACGATCGTCGCCTGGTAGCGGGTTAGCTCCTCATTGATGCTAGAAATTAATGATCGTACAATTTTTGGTAAAATAATGACGATTAATTTGCGTTTTAAATGAACTACTTGGGACAATTTCAATCAGTCACTTTGGTTTATCACTCATTTAGTCTTAACAGTCTCTTTATATATATAAAATTGTGGTGTACGTGTGTATGTCACTGAACTCCGCTTAAACGTCTGGACCGATTTTAATGAAATTTTTTGTATGCATTTGTATTTCGCCCCAGATGGCTTAGATTTACGAATCAACCCGTCAGATGTCGCTTCAGTCTGATTTTAAGACATTTATAATGAAAATTAGGTTATAGAATGCATTCGTTTAACAAACTTTATACATAACTCTGAATTTTAGACAGACAGAGTGACAGTCAAAACTACTATACATATTTTCATAGTATATATGAATCACCTTTCTTTCAACGCTGTTTCATTGAACATGTTAAAAGTCAGCGTCGCATTCTGCCACAGATACTGAGCTGTGATGTCTCTTTCCCTCGTCATATTGTTCACTCTCTCCATCTCACTCGCACCCTCTATTGCTTGAAACATGAAGGCGCCTGAAAAGAAAAAAAACTTAGTATCCAAACATCATGGCTTAATTTATAGATCAAAGGCAATGCTATATTCCAAAGGCATGCTCAAATTAAGTGATTAAAGTTTAATTTTTATATTCTATTTGAATTTTAAATTAAATACTTCTAAATTAATTTAAAGAAACGAACATAAGTATATGACGAGAAAAGATTTTCATAGTTTATAGCATACGTTGATCTTGCCATAATTTTTTTTCTATGAATTTTTAAACCAGGCAATCTCTAGTAAATTCTCCTTGATACTTATAAATACAGAACAAAATTTATTAAGTCGCTAGCAGTATTATTAATAAATAGTGTACATATATAGAATTTATTAACTTGTTATGAAAAGTTTATAAAATAAAAATATATTTATGAACAATACTGATATATTACTACATAATATATTTATATAATTCATTAATTAATTATACATAATGGTATAAAATCATTTAATATCTTCTCATTGCATTTTCAATAACAATAAAATAAAACTTTAATAGTTTTGTATTAAAATTATTTAATAAAGGTTGCCCTAACTTAAATCAATTAATTATTTTCAATAAAATCAATATTACCTACAGATTATGAAACTTATTATTAAATGTAAAACATTAGTTGTAAACAAAATTTGGTCTACAATAATCTTCCAGCGAGAAGTATTAGGAAGATAAAATGTAATCTGATTAAATAAAAGTCTGTGAAAATTTAGCGATAGAACTGACTAAAGCGCTGCCAACTAGTGGCTTGTTTTATAAAATATATTTAACATCAGATAGTCTATTAGAATGTAAAGAAATTCTTAATAAATATACCAGCTATAGTGTAAGCTACAACGAGTACAACCACTCCAACGTTTGAAAACAGGAAGGCTAGTAGTGCCCTCAGATAGTGACGCACTCGCGACGCAAGCCTGCGCTTCCTGCGTGGCATATTACGTCATCGTGTCTGCACTGCCCTCATCTGTAATTAGTATAACAATATTGAGAAATATTTTCACCTTGAAGAATACATTCCTCCTATAAAGATACTCTTACTAATTTGATTTATTGGACGAAGTACGAAGATAGACCGATTGTCGTCAACACATTTGTGCATATAACGTACTTACTTACTAAGTAATGTTTATAATTATTTTTCTATTTAAGGGGGCAACCGAGCAGACGGCCTGCCTGATTGAGGTAGTACCGTCGCCCATGGACGGTGGAAAGATAGTTTTGCGAATATGTTGCCACCCTTGATTGATGAATAAAGGGAAAAGATGGGGAAGGGAGGGGAAAGGGAAAGGTCAGGAAAGCCTAGAAAAAGGAAAAGGGCAACCGGCTCTCTCACTCACAGCTATTTAAGGGTATTTCACGCCGATCTTCTGTGAGAGGGTGGCTGGCTCGACTGGAGAAGTCTCCGGTCAAGCCAGCCCATGATCGAGCTGTAGCAACTTGAACACAGCTAGACCAATGAATATATGTAAATGCATTTATGTTTTTTGCAAACTTGTGATATGTTGCAGATGTGTTTGACTCATTTTTCTATCTCAATTCAAATTCCACTTTATTTTTATATTTCTTCCAATGCTGGTTGGGAAATATGAGTTTCAATTTTATGTATTAACTCAACATGTCTTGCCACATTCAATTAATTGGAACATACAAAATTTTCTGACATTATTTTACTTTCCTCTCTTAATATACTTATTTCTATATTGATAACTTTTATTCATATTAAGTAAGTAATAATGAAACTAAGTAGTAAAGCAGGTACAAAAATAGACATTGCGTTCGTCGAAGAAAAATCTTTTAGTTGCTACAGCAGAGACTAAAATATATTTTCACTCACCGTCTCATTAATATGAAATATTTGTTTAATAAATTAACATTAAAGCGATCTCTTCAATTGAAAATGAAAATATAAATTATTCAGTATGAGGTTTTTAAACAACTATTTACTATTAAGCATGATTTACAACTTCCGTCTAACATAACCAGTTGGACGAGATAAAATTTAAGATTCTGTATAAAATTATTTCATACTAGCTTTCCGGCCGCAGCTTCGCCCGCGTGGAGTTCAGTAATATCGCGTTCCCAAGAAAACCTTTCAAAAGTCTGGGATAAAAACTATCCTATGTTCTCTCTCAAGGTTAACTCTATATCTGTACAAAATTTCATTAAAATCAGTTCAGTGGTTTAGGCGTGAAAGCGTAACAGACAGACAGACAGAGTTACTTTCACATTTATAATATTAGTAGGGATATTATATGAATAAATACAACGTGTTAGAGGAATTAATAGATCTTAGGATTGGTTGAAAATAATTTAGATTTTAATCTACTTCTTGTCAGCGTCTTCGCGTGGACAGAATTAAAATATTTTTTTGTTTGAAAGAACGGAAAACATCGTAGTAGTTTGATAAATTCATTTTCAATATCAATTTTTTGATCCAAAATTTGGTGGAAGTTTCTTAGGAATTATGACTATATATAGCAATATTTTCTAAATATTTTATTTTATTTTTATGTCAATACAATAAGACTCTTGACGAACTCAACGTCTTTTTAATATATTTTTCTTAAATGAATTCTTTCAGCGAATTTTCTAAACTACAGCTGTCACATAAAAAACGATTGCTTACACTTCTGTCTGGACATACATCAAAAATAACAAATGAAACTTTATGTTGTTGAATCAAATATTTTAGGAACAATGATTTTTTTGTCTATTCAAAAAAAATACTAGCGTTTTGGGACCATATTATGTGAGATTAATTTAAATAAATGTAGGCTTTTAACTTAAATATTACCATAATCAAATCATACTATCTGAAAAATTAAGATAGGTATATTATATATATGTAATGTTATTGAACACTTAAAAACATATATATTTTTCTTTACATTAGACAAATCTTTCAGATGTTAAAGGCCCGCCTCTCATGCATGAGGGCGCGTGTTCGAAACCTGGCAAGTACCAATGTGATTTTCCCGAGTCATATGTACTTTCTAAGAGTATTTAGACACCACGGTCAGATAAAGGAAAAGATCGTGAGGAAACATAGACTTGCAATTTCAAATTATAAGTTTGAAATCGCCAACCCGTCTTTAGCAAGCGTGGCGATTAATGCTCAAAACTACTCCATGTAAGAAGAGACTTTTGCTCAACAGTGCACTCTGATAGGCTGATAATGAAATCTTTGAGGTAAAAATCAATTTAAACTAGATGTATATTACTGATTTTGGATGCTGGATATAAAGAACTCGATATCGTATAGCTTTGAGTTAGCGAAGTCAGAAAAGTAACTGTAATTGAGGTGACTGAAAATACATTTAATCGGCAACACGGCCTTGCTCATAACCACATAATGTCCGGATAAATAAAACGGTCCACAATACCAGCCCTATACTGTTTATGACACGAAAAAAACTATTCATTCACAAAAATAAATTAATTATAATATCAAACTAAAAAAACTGTACTAATTTTAACTTTAGTACCTAGTAATAAAGCACATAATTATATGACCGTTAATAACATCAGTTTAACAAACCTGGTAACATTCTATATTTGAAACATTGTGAAATTATTGAAACCTATTTTAATACTTAAAAATGATTAAATTTAAAGGTATAAATGAAATGGTTTATTACTATTTATGAAACATAAAAATATTTCAACTTTAATAATAAACAATATATGTCAACTTCAAAAGAAATGCAAGCATTTCATGTAAATGTCAAAATCAACAAAGGCGTCATTGTCTGCTGTCACAGATTATCGTTAATTTTAATTTGTAATAAAATGAAGCTTTGTCGCTTCCATGAATTTAATATTATTTTATAAATACATATTGAGCACGGATTATAATTAATCTTTTGAAATTTTGTACCTTTTTACAGATTATAAATTGATTACATATGTTTTTTTTTAATTTTAAATCAGCACTAAGTCAATGTTTAGAATGTAGGTCATATATAAAACTATATCTTCTAGGAAAGTGGTGTCAATGTATCAATAAAATCTTTATAGATCGCCGGTTCTATTTATTTTCCAGCATGCGTATCCAGATCTTGTTATTTCACAATAAATTTTATTTCTGAACGCAATGAAAATTTTATGTTCATTAATAATAGAGATTGGATGGAAATAAAGGAAATATTGATAATCGACGCTTAAGTAGTTTCTTACGTTTATAGTATACCAATTCGCAAGCTGAATATATTAAGAGGTAGTGTAATAGCTCCGGGTAGTAAAGATAATAGGTACTACTTCCATAAAATCTATCATTACCAAGAGTTCCTAACAATTGTATAGCGTACCTGAGAAAATTATCGTCTTGAACAAATTATCTAATCTGCTACAATTTTTATGTCGACTATAAAACTCTTAAATACCAATAAGTATATTTCTAAGGCTGGTTGATAGTGTTCTAAGGTATTAATTTTATTGTTTTCGCTGAGCAATTGCATATGGCCTTAAAGCTTCTGCCTAAAGAAAATTAACGTGAACTCTGTATGCTAGAGAAAATGATGAAAACCAAACTTGTCTGGAATTTTTCGTATGTCATATCAATAGTAATGAGAAACTTTAATATAATGAAAAATCCTGATTTAATGGATAATAATATATTGTTAGTAGGCCATTGAGAAAACTTAAAATTAATTATATTATACTTTTAACCATTCTATCTTTCAATTAACGCCAATCTCCTTTCATCTATGGTTATATAATTATAAAACATCTCCAAGGAATTTTATATATAAAACTTTTTTACCGAAATTAAAATTATTTTTTATACCTTACGTGAAATCATGCACTACCCTAAATCATAAAGTATTAACTGCCGGTTTCCTTACGACAGGTTACTTAGAAATAAGTTATTTATCTATAATTTTAAACATTTAATCAATCCTAGTTAAGAATCTGTCCAAAAATATACTCACTATATAACCCACTGCTCCTTATAACAAATAAAAACTCAAATAAAATATATACGAACACAATCTTCCATAACAAAAATTGCGATTACAAGTTAATGTCAATATGTTAAAAATCACACTGGCTAGATTTATTAGAAGTCTAAAACGCAAACATAGTTCTGTACGGTGCGCTTGCGCAGACTGACTTACTACAAAGAGTCCACCATCCTTAGAATGTTTAATTCGCAGATGTGGCATACGTAATTTTAACTTTTCTTCTTTCATTTTACGTAAATAGTTCCTTACAAAATAATTTAGAAGAATAAAAAGACTTGGACTTGTCCAGAACTCACCTTAATTCATTCTTGGAACCTACGTCGAAGGCAGCCCTAGTAGGTTCTTTTCAAATTTGGGTAGGTAGAGAGAAGAGCTTGGACGGTGAATACACTGAATTCTAAGAGGTTTCTTCTCCCTGCAGTTAAAAGAACAAACATTATTAATGATATATATAAATCTTCATGAGATAGACGCTCTATACACTTTTCAAGTTTTAATCTGTGGCCATCTAATAATAGCCCACTGGCGACGGCAGTTTCGTATATTGTACACAGCGGGAGTATTTCAGGAGTAAAATTACTGATTTGTGTGTTTCATTATGTTGCAAAACTCATTAATTGAATTTAATCAAAAATTTCAGTAACTTATGAAGAATAAAAATCGATTTAGAAAATTTTAACAGCACAGATAGTAAATATTATTATAAAAATTACGACATTAATTTTAGGACAGCCACAACATTTTTTTTCCATCTGTCATTCTAAATATAAAAAGTCAAACTATGATAGAAATAACAAACAATAATTCATAAAATTAAATAGCTAAAACCTTATCTATACCTTTTAAATTTTTTGATCAGTTAAACGAAATAAAAAAATATGTGCTGTAACAACACATATAAAGTCTTCTTGAGCATATTTATTTCCTCACATTACTCTAGCCTACAGCTTAAACAAAATAAATAATAGTA